TGCGAGTTTATTAAACGGCTTAGAAAACTCCAGATGTATGTTCTCATATTGTACCGAATTCTTTACGAATTGAACCAAGTTGGATAGAGAAAATCCAAGTTAAAGTTTATGCAAATGAAGACGAATCTATATCAGATATAAAACCTCCTTCATGGTCATGATTTCTATTGTGTTTCCTTCATGAATTATTAATGAGTTTTCTAAGGACATTTAAAGTAGAGACACCAAAAGGGCTAGAATAATGATGATGAAAACACTGGACTTCATGCCACTGTTGGAGAAAAGATTAACCATTCAATCCACCCTAGTTCTTTTACTACTAGATGTTATTGATTTATTATAAATAACATTCAAGCTAACCATCAATATGCAACTTATTTTGTCTAGTGTTCTTAATGGCTGCACAAGAAGAGGCCCTTTTCTAGCAAACAGTCTGGGTATACTTGGTGAGTCAGGACTCTGCGAATATTGCCTTACCACTTTTATATGTTAATTATTGTGATGTTAAGGTGTAGAAGAATTTTGACTTTATGTTGATAATTAATAGCAGTGAAAACATTGATAATATGCAATGAATTTATTGTGTTAATAGATGAATAATGTTTGCTTGCAGCTCTGATGTACTGTAGTCTAGACAGTCTTATTGGTAAAGTAAGAGGTGAAGAAGATCAGCTCAACTCTATCGCTGCTGCTACTTGTGCAGGAATGATCTTCAAATCTACTGGTAAGACTGTCATATATGATGAAGCCTTAAGGTCCTCACAAAGGAGCCCAACATTTAGCCAACATTTGTTGATTCATTTCCAATATTCAATTTCTAAGCAAAGTACTCTTTGTTTTCTTTCCAAAGACTGAATTTTGTTTTTGTTTTGATTGTAGCTGGCGTAAGACCAATAGCTATCGCTGGTGCTATTGGTGGTTCATTAGCTGCGGCTTATCACTTTGGAGAAAAGCTTCTAGAGGGACGAGGACAGACAATGTCGACTGCACCCAATTGGGCATAAAAACATGCATTAACACACAAGAAAATGAGGAAAAATGAGAAAAGAAAATGAAAGAAAAATGAGAAGGGGATTCAATCATGATGTGATGAGGAAAATCAGTGAAATAGTGAAGTGAAATGGTTTTACTTGACACAAAAAGCTCTTGGGATGAGAATTACATCTGGAGAGGAAACAACCATTGATGAAATGCCGTGCAGAAGAATATGAGCACTGAAAATGTGCTGAGGAAAAATGGAAAATGAAATGAATTGGGAAGATCACAAGAGAGAGGTTAAGTCAAGTCATGAAGTTGACCAAAACAGAGAGTCTTCGTTGGATCTATCAGAAACTGAGAGCAAACAAAAAACCTTTTTACAAATAACTCAAACAAAATAGCAACACATTCGTGGTGTATGAACATTATGTCGCATATCTGTTCTTTAAATTTAATTGTTGAAATGCTGTGGTTGGCACATTGAACACTTTCTAAAAATCTTGGATGCAAAACTAACTGGAAAATATGAAAGAAATGGCACAAATTCTATTAAGAAAAAGTGAAAATAATTTCTTTTGTGTTTTACTGTTTGAATAAATTTTTATTTTTTTTTACATAAACTCATAACTATGAGCTGCAGCCCGAGATTTGGTTTTTGACTACTGTCATTCAAAAAGCATTCAACAACTTTTACATTTTTGACTGGCAGCAATGAAAAGCCATGTTCTAACAAGCAAGATGTAGCTGAGTTTGTGTAATATTGAAAATTACAGTTGAGGGGGTACTCAATTATGACCATTGTAGCCGAGATGTATAAATGTATTAAATGTCATAAACATGTGTGTTGCATCATTCACATTGATCTTAGTTTGTGTTATCATTTAAAACATTTATTAAGGATTATTTCAGTTGCACAGTTAATAACGGAGTAAAATATTTAACGGAGCTTAATATGCCAAGGGCATTAGCCATTCTGAGCTTGAGGAGAAAAAATCAAGTTGGCATTGCAGAGCACTGTGGGGCCTGTTTTAAGGACATTTCCAAGGTGGTGTCTATTTGTCGACCCTAAAATGGCTTCATAATACACTGCAGTGCCAATTCAACCCAGTTTTCCCTCAATTTTTTAATGCCCAATTTAGATATCAGATAGAGTGCAAACAATATCACCGTGAAACTTTAGTAATACTAAATAGCACAATTTCATGCAAATTCCATTGTTTTCTATTGTTTAATTAGCACTGTTTTGTACTATTTAGTAATTAGTGTTTCACGGATTAACTGTTTGCACTCTAAGAGACAATGAACTACAACTAGATTAAGGTCAACAGGAACGTTAAAGTTGTATTAATTTTTTATACTCTGTTTATTTTATTGATACTACATTGAGCCACATTATGGCTTGTTTGTCCTTGCTAGCAGAGTATCCCTTGTTAGCGATTCTTGTCAGAGAAAATTTCTCCGAGGGAGACTAAGAATCACCAATGAGGAAGACTATGCTAGCGGGGAAGGTCTGTTTGTAAAAAGAATTTTAAACCATGTTGAACAGTAAAGTTACATCAATCTAAACTTTAAAGATTTTAGTTTTATTTTCTAATACAGCGATCTTACTTGGCCAGTGAAAATATAGTAACCAGAGATTGCTATTTCCCCCTGGGGTACTCTTGCTCGTTTAGGGTAGGGATGTGCTGCTGAGCCCTCTGGACCCTGACCCTGTTCCAGAGTAAAAAAGCTGAAATTCATACCCTGTTCCAGAGCAAGATTGCTGAAAACCATATCCTGTTCTGGTATTGTGAAAATAGATACCCTGTTTTAAAGAGGAGAGAGCGTGATTTCATATACCCTGTTCCAGAGAGAGAGTGATTTTATATACCCTGTTCCAGAGTAGAATTGCTGAAAACCATACCCTGTTTGTATAGCAAATAAAGGGGATCCCCCCCCCCCCCTCGCATTAATTCCATTGTTTTCTTTTGCTTTACTTTGACTGTTAATCACTTATCATACAACTTTGTTTCATGGGACAAGTAAAATCCCTCTAATACTACTATTTAGAACTTGTACTTTTTCACGGGTTAATGGTCCTAAGGTTTGATGAGAGGGTAACAAAAATATCAAGAAATACAGGATTTCTGAAAAAAAGGTTTTATGACAACACTCCTACTTTGAAGTGGGTGGTTGGTTTTGAAATGGTGGAAATGCAGGGGGTGGTGCTTCGTAAGAGGGTCTTCCAGGGTTCCATTGGGGTGGAGGTACTTGGTACATATCAGGAGGAAGAGGCAGGGGAGGTGGACAACTGAAGGGTGCATGAAGATAAGATGGTGGTGGCCTCATACCATGGGTAAATGAGCCTGGAAAGAAAGGAGGAGGATGTGGCATAAAATGAGGTGGTAGCCCTCCAAAGGATGGAGGGGGGCCTCTGTGGGGTGGGTGTGGCAGTCTAGGAGGAGGCTGGTGTTGTTGGTCATTATTTGGATATGGCTTTCCTCTCCCTCTGCCTTGCCAATTTCTTGTAGATTCTGAAAAGAATAATAATTTTAGTTAGTACTTTTATTATCATTTTACTCACATTTCAACAACCTTAGGGCTGATGAAAGTCGGGGCATGGCTAACTCACAAATTGAATCCAGGAACAGCCTCTGGGCTGATCTAAGTCAGGGCACAGCTAACTCACAAATTGAATCCAGGCACGGCCTCTGGGCTGATCTGAGTTAGAGCATCTGCATGGCTAAATCACAGATTGAATAGGAATTTAGCGTGGTTTTGCTAAAAAAGGAAAACATACCTTTATGTTGTGGTGGCTTCTTTGGAGATGGAAAAGTATTTTCTCTGGAATCTATGTTTTTAGTGTCTGTCTGTCCTTTGAATTGAGGTTTGTTTGATCTCCTGAAGGAAACAACCAGAAATGTATAAGAAAAGAATTATTAATAAAAGCAAGTGGTTTGAATCCAGGTGTTGAAGTTTGTTGTGAAGTAAAATTGTCTGGGTGAGTGTAGTCTTGAGAAAGACCACCACCAATAAGAGTCTTTGTCAAGATTTGAAGGCCATTCACTTGATTTACTAACCTTTCTTGTTTTTTGGCTGCCTTTGCTTTTGCTTCTTCCTCGTCATCTGAGTACTCAATGAGCTGGTAATTAAATAATACACGTCATGTTACAGCCAAAAAATTGTATTTTTCATAGACCAGTAGGAAGTGATTTGACATCACTTACAAAAACAATTACAACCATCAATCCCTGGCATGTAAGGGACTCTTCTGTGAGGTTTGCTCAACTTCCACTAAATTCATTATTTACAACACACGACACAACTCACATGTTGATTTTTACAGATATCAGATGATAATGCCATGCATTCAATAATCATATAAAACCTACAGACTCCTTGTACGAAGGCAAGTTATATCTACCAACCTCCTGAGGTGGTTCTTGGTCATACTTCCATGATGCATCAGATCCCTTCAGCCTATACAAACAATAATATCAAATACCTGTAAATGCCGGTTTAGACGGTACTAATTTTCACCTACAACTATCGTATACAACACATTCGCCCCATCCTACAACTCGAGTCGTAGTGCATAAATCAAGCCTTCAACTTGCCTACGACAGACATGAGCATGTTGTATACGATAGTTGTAGGCGAAAATCTTACCGTCTAAACCGGCCTTAATACAGAGCACAGATAGACTGAGGGGGTTAAGGGTGCACCATCAACACTTTATACATGAGTCCCTGGCTCGAAAAAATTGGGCACCACCAATGCATCTCTATCTATATTCATGTTCAGGGTTCAAAATAGCGGGCTGTTCAAATGTAAGTCATGATCACGGCTATTAGCTCAGTCCATATCTCATTTCTGGTTCAATGTGACTGGTCAAAATGACCGGCAAGACAAAGATTTGACCGCACAAGTACCAGTTCTGGCCGGACATTATCCAATGACTGCCTTTATTTTAAGCCCTGATGTATAAGATAATCTAAGGTGTTAGAGACAGAATTGTTTACCTTTGCAGCTGTGAGATGAACACAAGCTTGGTAAAGTCAAGATCCTCAGGGACAAAGAACACCATCATTCCCTGCTTCACATCCATCTTTGTGATATCTTCTGGAGTATTGAAGCGGACTGAGTAAAATGGATTCCTTACTGGGCCAAATGTCTCGAACACCTATTAAATCATCAACAATAAGATAAGCTACCATTTTCTCTACGGACATCCAGGACTTCAAAATCTCTACTTTAAAAGACAACTTGATAGAGGCCCTGTTAGAGGCGAATTCTGACAAAGCAGCATAGCCTGGAAATGGTGACACAAGTGCCATGAACTATAGCGAACAACAGACTTTTCTGACAAATTACCCACAGCAAGGGGTAAATTCCAGCAGCGACACAAGTAAATTCTGAAATTGTGACATAGGCAGCTGTGAAATTCAGACGAATGACATGGGTATTACTCCACCCACCCCCCTTCCCCCACCAAACTCCTGTAATAGGGCCTCTAATGCAACCTACCTTGCCAAGACATTTTCTGTTCTCCAGGAATAATAAAGTATCGACATCCAGTGCAGGGGTGTCAGGTAAGGATTTCACCACAACTAAACACAACAAAGATATTATTTTTTGTTGCTACAGAATATGTATTTTGCAGCTTCACACAATATCTATGATAAATATACCCACCCTACTCCCCTCCCCCTATAAATGTGTGACTGGAATGGATGCAATCACTGTTTCAGATGGTGAGAGGAATCAGGAATCTTTGAGTTTCATTCATTGATGGTAAAAAAAGAAATAATCCTCAAGGATTTATTTTGATATATCACTGGATACTTCTGCCTAAACTGCCGGCTATTTTCGACTTAATAGTACACATAATTAATAAAAAAGGGGACTAAAATTCCATTCATTACCAAATAAAGATATATGATAACATCAGTGGATTCAGCATTCTTCAAAAACGTCTTTATTTTTGTTTGTTTCAATGCAACAAAACCTGCCACTTGCACATCTTTCGAAACGAGTAGTTGCCATCTTGATTTTAGAGCGCAAAGGCCTCCGGGTATATTAAATATAACGGGCTTCCTGTGGTAGCTAAGACMAGCAGTGTTCCAAACAAACAAAATGGCGATTAAGCATGATTATTTAAAACAGTGAAGTAGATCTATTTCCAAGGAGTGCAAAGGTCTGACATTTTTTTGAGCCTCCTAACAATACTCGCATCTCGACTTCGCCTTTGCTCAGTCTTAGCCTCAATTGTGTACAAATGTGTTCTTTTCTTTTATTAGGGTCCATTGTATAGTAAGGGATGTACATACTAAGGAACAATAGCTGAATATTATAACAAACAACGAGACTAAGGCTGAGCAAAGAGAACTCGAAACTGGAGTATACCAGATTTTTAGAAATCCTTAAATTATATAAATAAATATATATCTCACCCATAGACTCTACAACACTCATCACTGAACCAATGTGGACTAAGTTCACATCATTGGAAAGCATTAGGTTGACTTCAGGCTCTGGAGGAAGATCCTAGGACAAAAGGTCTCTTTGATAAATATGCAGAACTTAAAACAATATTGCAACAGCCAGACTTGTCTTAGCTTTGTCATTCTTCACTTCAACTTGGCATTACTGGTCAAAATGACTGCCAAGGCAAAGATTTGGCCAGACAAGTTCAAATTCTGTCCAGACATTGTCTGAAGACCAGCTGTTATTCAAAGCCCTGTTAGTGTCATGAGTTATTTAAATAACTAGTTAAAGGATTATCCATTTTTTATAGAGGGGAGAGTGCCAACGGAATCTACAGTGACTGTCAAAGAAAAATCAACGACCTTCCTTCCTTTCTTTCAAAGGAACAAATATCATGACCCTCCTATCCTGGGTTCTTTCAGCTTTCCTGGCAGGACCTTTGGATTGAATAAATATACTGATAAACTGGTTTTTAAGGTACTCCCTGGTCCTACTGTACTATAAGTTGGCTATAAACACTTACTTTGAAAAGAAGTTCATCTTTGGTTTTAGGTGGGTCAATGCTGATCTTATCCTCTTCATTTTCCATTTTTTCTATTCTATTTCTGGAAGGATTTTTGAATAATAGTGATAATATATTAGAATATTAAGCTTAGAATATAGTTTTCCCATTTCAGAACATGTGTCACTTGAACCCTTGAGTATTTGTCTTTTCTTACTTGTAATATTTGAGACAATATAATAATATAAAATAATTTATATCTCTGACCAAGGACTAGTATCTTGGCTGCTTGTGCCATCCACACTTGACATCCAGGCTGGTAAGTGACCTCTATATATTCCCATGGGAATGAATTGTAGGTTGGAATGGGAAAACTAGCTGAGTGGAATGAATGGGAATGAATTCTGGGTTGGAATGGGAAAACAAGCTGAGTGGAA